GTCACCATGATGTCACGCAGACGTCATTGAAACCCCAATTAATTTTAAATTCTTATAACTTTTTTATTTGTTCTCCAAATTTTTCAAAAAATATATCAAAATTTATGAATTTTTATGATCTTTCATATGACACCAGTATGTAACATATAAAATGAATTTTGTTTTTGAAGAATTAACTGTTGAAGGTTTTTTGAACCCAAAAAAATACGAAATACAATTTTTGCAGAGGAGAGAGAATTAACTTTAGCCACATATTCTTTACTTTAAATGGAAATGACAAATCTTTTTAGACATTCAAAGAAGGAAATTTGTCGGGACGGAGGGAGTACTTTAGATATGTGCAGGGGCGGACCGTAGTAAAGACCTCGGGGGTTACCGCCCCTCCAACAAAATTTATTTTTAGTGTATATATTTCCTCCGTCCCGCAAAGAAGTTCCCGGTTTGACCTATACACACATATTAAGGAAATAAACTTACCAAAGAGTAAATTTTATTGTTTTGACCATGTTTCAACACTGTTTGGCACTATTTGACACTGTTTTGTACTGTTTGACACTGTTTTGATGTAGATAAGTTGTCATTTAAGGAAATAAGAACTTCTTTTTGGGACTGCTAAAAAGAAAAGCGGGAACTTCTTTGCGGGACGTACGGAGGGAGTACATAAAAAATTAATTTTCACACCCTCAAAAAATAATTTTTCCTCTTCAAAAAATAATTTGCCCCAACATGAGGTTTCTGGGTCCGCCCCTGAATATGCGTTAGCGTTACAAATGAATTGTACACCGTCAATAAAATGCTTGGGCATCTTGGCAAACGCGCATGGCGCGTTTATCAACTAGTGTTAACATATCAGGTAATACGTAGTACGTAGTATGTGTTTTCTAACTTTTAAGAAGAAGTCATTAAGACACATTTGAGCAGTGGCGGAACAAGCTCGAGGACTCTCGAGGGGCACTTAGAGCCCGTTTGGTAGCACGCAAATCGGCTGTTTTGGCTGTTTCTGCTGAAATTTCTGAAGTTCTGGTTGAAGTGGCTGCATTGGCTGATTCTGCTGATTTAAGAAACAATTATTTTTAAAATATATTTTATTAATAAAATAAAGAAAAAATTATATGTAAAAATAGCTAAAATGGTCATCTACAGTAACTTCAGCCAAAACAGCCAGAAAAGTAACTTCAACCTTACTTTTTCTGCTTATTACACAACTCAGCGCGCAAAAGTAAAAATTACGCGTTTGGTGAAAAAGTTGGCTGATAAGCCTGATAAGCCAAAAACCAGTGCTGCCAAACGGCCTCTTAATGGGAAAGAGAAGGTCTCCGAAAGATGTTTCATCCACCATCTAGAATACACTACATATATATTTTATTCTAGAATATAATATTTTGAAAAGTAAATTGAGAAATCACAATTTTAATTACACACGTAGTACAAGATCAAATGAGATTTTCTATGAAACCAAAAAGCAAGAAATTAAATTTGATGAAAAAGCTACCATAGCAAAATTGTGATTCCTACCCATGCACTAGAGAGCTTAATGGTATATCATCCAAAATTGAATATAGGTATTTAAAGCCATTTTAAATTAATTTAGAGGTTAAAAAAGACACGAGTAAAGCAAAATATAAAGAAATCAAGCTAGGATTCGATCCCTACACCTCTCATATCCCAGACCACAACTGCAATGCCTCCTCCATTCCGCAGCAGTGTCTTTTTATGAACATAGTGGTTATTAATGTATAATACACATATTGTTTGAATATTTACAATTTACAATTTTATATTTGATATATATATAATAAAATAAAAACAACTGCAGGGGCTCAAGCTCCTCCGAGCCCATTGCTAGTTCCGCCCCTGCATTTGAGCATGGATTAAGCATTTTTTTAACAAATATTTACACCACTTTTTACAATAATAAATGAAAAAAATCTGAGATGAGTAGGGACCTAAGTCGACTCTTTTACCTCCGCCCTTGACCCTACGGCCAACTCGGGGCTCTAACTAGCTGACACCTTTTTTTCATTAATCTATAATCTATGTCCCAAATGTAGGACATATTACAATGATAAAGACATAATTAAGCATTTTTTGTCAAAGTAGTAAAAACAAGCCACAACAATGAAAATGATAAAAGCAAATTGTTTGGGTTAAATAATGCAAATACTAGTAAAAAAATGTTACAATGTGAACTCCAATTATCTAAACTTTCACCAACAAAATTGTCATCATGTAATCTTCATTGTCACCGTATCAAATCATTGTAAACAATTGGCATTATTGTATTGTTAGTGTGGAAAATGGAAAAAACGAGGAGAATGGCCGGTTAGCGTCTGAAAAGAAAGAGGAGAAGAAAATGGCATGAAGAAGAATGGAAATGGGAAAAGCAATGACAAAGTAAAACTAAATTGGATTAATAGATGAGCTGTGTTCTCAATGAATCGGTAAAACTTAGGGCCTGTTTACTAACAGAGATATTTTCCAGTTTTCCAGAAAACTGGAAAACTGGAAAACAGAAAACTGAAAACGTGTTTACCAAAGAAATTCCTGGAAAACTGGAGAAAGGAAAAAAGAAAAACATGTTTACCAAATCGTTTTCTAAAAACGAAAAAATGAGACATGTCTCTCTTTTCCTTAATGATTTGGAGAAGTGACTTTTACTAGTTTTCCAAATTTGAAAAACGCAGATGCTACAGTGTCGCTGCATTAAATTTGCATATTTACACCTAGTGGTGGGTCCGGTCCCGCTCCGATATCGATTCCATTCCTGTCCATCCATCCTCGTACCTTACCCCTTACCCCTACCGTACCCACCCAACCCCCACCCCGCGTACCCATTTTCCCTATAATGACCCTACCCCACCCCCTACCACATGCCCCTACCTCGGCCCCACCTCGACCCACCCTACCCTAACCGCCACCCCCCTACCACCTCGACCCCACCCCGACCCACCCTACCCCCACCCCTACCTTACCCCTTACGACATTCCCCCTACCTCGGCCCCACCCCACTGCCATCCTACGCCCACCGCCATCCTACCCCCCACCCTACCCATCTCCTACCTCTACCCCACCCGGATCCCTGGCCCACCCTACCGCCATCCTATCCCAACTCCCTACCCTACCCCTACCTTACCCCAACCCTACCCACTACCCCCACCCTTACCGCCATCCTACCCCCCTACCCCTTCTCCTACCTCGGTCCCACCCTAGTCCCGGCCCCACCCTACCGCCATCCTATCCCAACTCCTACCCCTACCTTACCCCTACCACACCCTTATCCCTAACCACGACCCTAACCCCCTACCCCCTACCCCCACCCAACCCCCCCTACCCCTAGACCTTACCACCCACCCCGACCATACCCCACCTCCACCCGCTACCCCGACACCTACGAGTAGGTATGGGTGGGTATGAAGGGTTGTGAGGGAGTATGGGTAGAGTGTAAGATCGTGATAAGGGTAGCGGTAAGGGTCAAGGGTGTGGAATGGAGACTGGGTGAAAAAATTGATGAACATATTTTCAGATTTGAAAATGGAAAACTAAAAAATAGAAACAGAAAATTGGAGATAGAAAAACTGAAAAATAAAAACAGAAAATTGGAGAACAAAAAACAGAAGTAGAAAACCGGAAAATATCTCTGTTAGTAAACAGGCCCTTAATTTTTTAAAATCCCATCTAAAGTTTTTGTTAAGATCCGGAGTTCCATCCTAAAAGGTCAACCTGATAGGAGGAGTAGCCCGTGTGTTAATATAGCACTTTGTTCATCCAAACTTTTCCGGTGTGGGACATTTAACACCCCTCCTCACGACCAGACACTTCGTCTGGATCGTGTCATCATTCATTTTTTTTTCATCGGTCCATTTTTTCTCATCCGGCCGTTTTTATAATCGTGTCATCATTTTTCATAAGGGGCTCCCACACCATGGATTGATTTGGCTCTGATACCATGTTAAGATCCGGAGTTCCATCATAAAAGATCAACCTGATAGGAGGAGTAGCCCGTGTGTTAATATAACACTTTGTACATCCAAACTTTTCCGGTGTGGGACATTTAACAGTTTTTTTTTATTAAAGTAGCCTTAACTACTCCCTTAAGAACTCAACCTTATTTGAAAGGAAATCATAACTTAAAATAGCTTTGAGTTTGGCTTTGGTATTGAGATTAATTAAATCCCCCCCTTAGCGATGTAGAATTCTAGAGGGTCTTTATAAATCATAGGTTATTGCATGGATTAAAGATTTAAATCATGTTTGATAATATTGAAATTAATTAAATCCACTGGCTGAATCAATAAAATATTACGAAAAAATTATATTTAAAATTTTATTAAAAAAAGAAAAATATATGAAAGAATAATTAAAATTATCTTTTTATAATTGTACTTATTTTGATGATTACACAATTTAGTGCGCGAATTTAAAAATTACTTGTACGTATTTGATAAAAAGTGAATTATAAGACCAAAAACTTTAAAGAGCCATATGTGATCCTCTTATGGAGTCACATGGCAAGTTGTGGCATGATCTCTACAATTTATTTTTTTAGTGGGATACCCCGCTAAAAAATAAATGGTAGAGATCATGCCACAACACTCATGTGATTCCATAAGGGAGTCACATGTGGTTCCATAAAATTACTTCTAATAAGGCAATAAACTAAAAATGTGATTATCAAACATGCTCTTAATGTGTATTTTTCACTTTATTCTCTTATGAGTATTGAACAAGCATTTAAATAATACTGCCTCCGTCCAATTAAATTATTTTCACTTACCTTTTTAGAGCATCTCGAAATTTTTCTCATTTCCCTTTTTTGAAAGCTCTATGAAGCTAAAATTCATTTATTTTTTTACTCAACAACAATCATACAATTATACTTTATTTTCACTTTTCAAAACTTTGATCCAAGTCAAATAAAAAAGAATTTTATGGAACGAAGAGTAACTAAAACTACAATAGTGATTTCATGCTCATTCGACGTCTCTACCATTAGAGGTGTGCACAATTAGATCAATTGACGGCCAAAATGGCAAAAGTTGGTTGATAGTTGATACATGTCAAATAATGAATGTGCTTGATAGCGGTTATCTAAATTTCCGATTTTAACCAAGTAAAAGTGCAATATTGTAGGAAGGATATGCTTCATTGATTCATGTTTCCATTTTATCACTTCTCTATGTTTAAATTAAATCAACTAATTGTAATATATTAATTGATCTACATTAGTAATTCCAAATTTCTTTGAGGAATAGCTGGAAAAGTGCAATCCGTTTATGCATACACATATTCAACTGCCGGCCATGCACAAACTTATAAGTCTTCAATTATTCAGATATCATATTGACACACTGTTGGGAACACCTCTACATGTCACACCATGGGAAGAGCTAGGAGCAAGAAGCTCATAGGGTATCACCCCTGCACCACACCTGTTCCTCAAACTGGCATCTTCATTCCGCCTCTCGATTTCCTTCTCAGCCTCTTGAATCTCAGCTGAGAAGTCGTAGAATGCATTGACCATACCCCTATCTCCCGTCCACGTCGACTGTTGAGGCCTTTCCCCAAGGTATTCCTCATCAGGGGAATGAGTTGACAATGTGTCCACCACAGCCATGAGTTTAGTAGCCTGCAACAAGCTCGGCAGCGAAGAGAAGAAGTACTTCTGCGGGTCCGCTGTGAAAACGGCATACTCAGGGTCGTTCTCTTCGGGGATTAACCTACGCATGAGGGTTGGCCTATTCGGGATGTACCCACCGTATGAGTACTGCCCGAAGTTGAGAGCAGCATGTTGGGCAGACGATAGCCAGATGATGGTCGTCAAAATGGAGATGAGGTCGTGTGGCGTGGCTAGAGTTGGCCACCACTCCGCATGACGAAGATCAGCGTGCCCCACATTGATCGACTCCGCATACCATGCCTGAAGCTCCCTGTCATTGCACACTGCGTCCGAGTCCGCGTAGTAGTGGTTCACATATGTTTTCACCCAATTCTCGATCGCACCCCAAATCAAAAGCCCATCTGCCGCGTATGGATAGTCCTCAATCAGCAGCTTAACTCCATGAGGCTGTGTTGAGTCTGCCACTGCTACTCCTCTGCAATATTTCAAAAACAAAAAAAGAAAATGAACTAAATTATGTCCAACTGCATTGCTTTAGAAAGTCCTCAGCATCAAACATAACTAAGAACTTAGAAATGTAGAGTTCATCCTAAAGGGTATTGAAGGAGTAGTCTTAATTCTTAAAGAATGTCTGTCTTTATATTTGGCCAACATTAGATAACCAAATATGTGCTTCAAGCTAGTGCCTTCTTAGAGCACACTAATCTTATAACTTAGAGAAGATTAAACTTGAAATTTCATACGAAATCTGGTAGCAGAAGTAACTCAGAAGTCACATTTGAGTAATGAATTCATTCTAAATAACATTATGGGATTCCATTCTGATGCTTGGCATGGATTCATCAGGCTGGATGAAATGAAATTGTGCCTAGACAACCTAGGGTTTTATTTTTACAACAATGGAGGTATGAAGAGGAAATTACCTTCTGATTAAGTCAGCAGGGAGATTTTCCAGGTCGAATCGCCAGTTCTTATAAGCAGCAGCACTGATCTCCATGGCGTACCGACCAGGAGTGAAGCACAACTCGATCACGCCATCAGCGTTGATCAATCCCTGCCGAGCCAGCGCGTTTATCTCCAGTGTGTATCTCATGTGCGGATCCAGAAGCTTATAGATCGGATGCATCACGCTCAACTGCCTGTGAGCCGCCAATATAAAAGGCTCCATCGAAGCGTGTGTCCGCAACCTAATAAGAATGAATCCAAACAAGCCGCTCGCATTACAGAGAAAAACCTAAGATAAATTCTGTCCAGACTCCAGATATAAGAATTAGGTTTTAAATTACCAGTGGTGAACAAGTTGATGAACGCCGGCGTCGTTGGAACAGACGTGAGCTTTGGCGAGCTGCCACATCCAGTAAGAGGTTCCGTCCACCGGCGGGGTGACCACGCGCTTGGACCGCGAGCTTGGAAAGCTTGACGGCAGGCTAAGCTCAATGGCTATTGGTTTCAAGGTGCCCATATCAGTCAGAAAGAAAATGGTGCGAGTAGCATACGTTGCACGACCGTCCAGAGCATTGATACGGTCAACAAATGGCAGGTAGGCGTCATGATAATCCACAATGTACAGCTTGTTTGACTCCATGGCCTATATTGAGTAGATTGGTTGATTTCCGAGAAGGCGAAAACATAGAATGAAAACGGTTATGGAAGTACGTAATGATAAGGATGAAAGACGTTTCTTTCAGAACTCGGATTGATTACCTCATGTACAGACATGCCATTGAGATATCCAAGAATGTGTTCTTCTTTGAGGGCAGAGTCCAAGGAGCCGTAGACTTGTGGGTCAAGCTTGCTCACGGGAGGAAAAACCGTTAGCCTCTCAACGGAAACAGGATTAATTCCTGCTAGTACTTGCCTACCGAACTCATCATCACGCAGCCAGGCCAGCTTATCCTCTACATAATCATATATTAGTCCATGATTAGTGTAAACACTAGATGCGTTAAGGTATATTGGTTTGTACTGACAGAAAGTATTAAAACTTTGAGTTTCTGTTATAGTCTCACATTGGAAAAACGAAGACAGAATAATGTGTTAATAAAGCTTGAACCAAATGTCTACCGATGAGAGGTTTTTATGGGTCCGGTTTTTGGTAGTTCATGGTTCTAGTCGGTTTTCATAAAACTGGTATCTGAACCAAGTATATAAGGTCAGTTTCAGTTTGGAACTTTTAGTCATTTTGTGTCGGTTTTGGTCGGATTTTGTGTGTTTTGGTTGGTCCGATTGGTTTTTGAAACGAAAATCTCCTGTTGTATGTGTAAGCACCAACAGATTGGTCGATTTTGCCGATTTCAGCTTTGCGTGGTTTTGGTTTCTCAATTTTTTTTGTTCGGCCCTCAACTCAATTCAGAAGTATATCGGTTTCATCCAAAATTAAGTACAACAACAAAGGGGCAGAGTATAGGAATAGCTAAGGAATGAGTTTTACTTGATATGATCTTAGGAATGTCGAATTTGAGGAGGTCTCCATCTTTGAACTTGGTGACAATTTTTGGGAGTTTGAGTTTGTTCAAGACATCATCCTTAATCCCGAGTTTCAAAAGGAGCCCTTCACTATAAAGTTTATCAAGGTCTTGGTATCCTTTGAGGTCAACGTTTTTCTCTGAGATCTTAGCCTGCAACCCCGGGAGTAAGTTGTGGAGCACAGCTTTAAGCCTTCCAGTGGAGAATGCATCCCGCTTAGATTCCTCGAATTGCTCATCTCTCGGCACATACATTGGCGATGGCTTCTCCACTCTGCTCTCAGCATGTATATCTTTTGGACAGAAATGAAAACAGTGTCAGGTGGCATTAAAACAAGACATCATATTCACAACATTGCAGTAACAATGTGTAAAAAGCAAGAGACTGACCAGTGTCCGTTGGAACACGACCAGTACGGCAACGCCTTGGATAAGGAATACTTTTGCCACCTAGTTTCGGACGAGCAAAATCGATCCCCTTATCAGGGTTGCCAAGATCATTATAAACGTCGAAATCGTATATCCTATCCGACAATTTTCTAACTCCAGTTCCATCACCCCTCAAATGTCTAAGCTCTTTCTCCCTTAAAGCTTTTAGTCCCGCAGGTGTCTGATTAGGCAGATATGGCTGCTCAAGAATGAACAAGTTTTCTCAATAAACATGCAAAACTCATACATGTTGTTTGTGATTAAAATAAATGAACACAAGTTATGTTGATATCTGGACATTTTTGCCACTTTCATGAAGGTGAATGTTATTTTTCTTCCAACCGATTCGTTTTTACACACTGCTCATTTGCATATGATGGTTACTTTAAATTATGTCACTTCAAAATATCTCCATTTTTAGCTTATTCTTTTTATTTTGACCTTTTTAGCATGTTTGCAGAACTTTTTTATTCCAATCACTCACATGTAAAATTAAAAAGTTGATGCCGTACAGATTTTCTTATTATCCAGCTCAAAAGCATTTGACACTCGATCCAAAAAGGCAAAAAATGATTCTTTTGGAAGAGAATGAATTTCAAAAAGGGTGAACAGAAACATATCAAACATCCATTATTTAGGGGTATTACTTTTAAAGGCCTTGATCTGTATATTGTGATTAGAAATGGTAAAAAAAATTGGGAAAGCATTAGATGAAGGGGATTAGGGAGATAAACCTGATTAGAGAAGAAGATCCTGCTTTTAGGGTGATTTTTCTTGGATTGAACCCAAGAATTGCAAGGGAAATGGACAGTACCACATGGAAAGCCTTCAAGAGTGATACTTTCCAAGAAGAACTCTTGTTGATGCTTGTTGGTGACACTTATTGCACCAGGGATCCCAAAGTTGGAATCCACCACAAACTCTGCTATGTAATTCACTCTCTCTGTCTTTAGGTTTGACTTCTTTGACCAGTCCTTTAACACTGCCTTGCTGCTCTTGTATGGCCCCTTTGTTTCTGTAATTACACATTAACCAAATTTAGCACCAACAGAAAAAGTACAACATATATGACTATACGTAGTATTACTGTGTGCACTCGTGCTAATAAACAGATTGTCAATTTTATACTCCGTATTTTATCCTCCGTAATAATTTAATATTACTGTAATAAAATGTGAGCTTTCACTTTTTTGAAAAAGTAAATTTAAAGTACGTCTCTTTACGACATAAACTTTCTTTCTTTCCATCCCTAATTATGATGAGACTTTCCTCTTGAATTCCACTGATTTTTTTCATTCTATCCTTTCATCTTTTATTTTTATGGGTCAAATCTATATTAATTTCTCTTCTTTTTTAGGTTGTATGTTAAAATAACAACTATTTCTGACCTTAACTTTGAATTGTGTATGAAATAAGAATAATAGAAATTGTATGTTTGAAGTTTGCGCAAAAGAAAGAAATAAATCGAATCACAAATTCATTACTTTAAATGGAAAATGACCAAGTTTTGAGAAGAAAGAAAATGAAAAGTTGGCAAAAACTTATGGATAGAGTATTAGAAATGGTATAAAGTAATTGGCTATTTAATTGCATGAAATTTTAAAGAAAAATGAGCTGAGAAATAAGATATAGTTAGATCAATGAAAGTATACTAAAATGGACAGAAGCTGTAATTTGTCCATTCAAACAGGTGATAATATATGGTCAAATATGCAACTGCAAAGAAGATGGAAAAAATTTCAAAGAAAAAAAAGTTACTGACTTGGATCAATCTGAGAGCTGATGAGCTCCAACACAACATTTCTGCCAATGTTTTCAGACAGATTATCAAGATGCTTCACCAGAGTTTCCTTAAAATCCTCATAGTCTTTGTTCTTCACAGTCACCACAGCTCTGACTTCAACACCCACAGCTGGTTTCTGAGGCACAACAACTTGGACCCATTTCTGCTCGCTGCTAATGGCTGCCACTGCTGGTTTTACCCTCTTCACCCACAAACCCCTTCTCCTTTCCGGGTTCAGGCCGAACCAGCCGTCAAGATCCACTGACTGGTTCGATGAGCTCATGAATGGAACACCTGGTCTAGATACTGTGAGCCCCAACATTTCATTTGCCAGAGCCATGTTTACTAAGTACTGTATCAAGGGTAGCTAGGCTAGATGGATGTTTCCTCCCTGTTCTTTGAGGTTATTCTTCTAAGAGACAGATAGTTCTTTTTGTTGTTGTTGGACAAGGAGAGAAAAAGAGAGAGGGAGTTAAGGAGGGTTTTTGATTAGTCTAAGGATTAGCTGTTGATAGCCATTGTGAAACAGAGGTTTGATTTATAGGAATATATGTTCTGACAGAGCATACGGTTATAAAGGATCTCACCGGCCACTCGTTTTTGGTTATTATTTTCTTTCTTTCTTTCTTGAAGAATGTTTATTTATAACCAATTTGTACGGTATCTTTTTGCAACAATATTTTATGTTCACACTTCACACACGAATTTTATTTATTCATACCATTATTTTTTGTACGAAGATAGAGCTCGAAGTCCGTTCATGGACTTTCGCCCGAGAAATCCCATATAAGAGAGTGAGCCGATGATAAGATCTCACCCTATGGAGAAACTAAAAATAACTAACATGTTCATGAAATTGTTGTTATCACCATATAACGGTGATTACTTTTCAATTGTGTGTATCCACTGTTTTTTCTCTATTTAGTTACCATAATTAATTAAAGCAAGCTGGGCTGAGCATAATCCGGTCCGGACCGGAAAACCGGACCAAACCGGACCGGTCGGTCGAGACCGGACCCGGACCGGATAGATACCGGTCCGGTCTTCGGTCCAAGGGTTTTACCAATTCTGGTTCTGGTCCGGTCCAAAACCCGGAATATTCCGGTCCAGACCGGTTAGACCGGAATTTAATTACTAAAGATAACTATATATTTATTTATATATGTATTAATTTTGTATACACAAACACGTGCTCCGTAGTACATTAATTAATACCTTAGACATTAACGCAAGTTACATACTCCGTACTTAGTATTATTTACATATTTACACTAGTAAAATTTTGTAGAATAAAAACATTAGGAGTAGGAATATAGTGGCACATTATATTTACTTATGTTTACTTGTTTTAATCATAACACATAGTGTGATTAATTGAATTCTTTTTTGTTAAATCATTCAGTCAAATCATTCAATAAATTAATGGAGTAAGAACATTATTTTCGCGTACTAATATGATCATTCATAAAATTTTATAGAGTCAAAGTTGAATCACATAAATTTCATATTTTCACTAGGCATAGTTCATGTGTTTATTTCTATTTATTTCATATATTATAATGTATATAATATAGATTAAAACACATAATAATGCAAATAATACATATACAAGAATAAATTAGATTTTTTTTAGAGAAAGAATAAATAACGAGCTAATAAGTAAATTTTTTGGAAAGTTAAAACTATTTTTTCAAAAGATTATTATAAAAATAATAAAATAAAAAAATCCGGTCCAATACCGGTCTGAACCGGAATAATCCGGTCCGGTCCGGTCTTGGACCGGAATTATATAGGTCCGGTCTTCGGTCCACTTTTTTCTAGAATTCCGGTTCCGGCCGAACCGGTTCCGGTCCGGTCTTGGACCTGTGCTCAGCCCGAAAAGCAAGTCTTCATAGGAAGTAGAAGATGAATGATACTCCCTCCGGTTTTTATTAAACTTCACACTTTCCTTTTTGGGACGGTCTAAAATAAACTTCACACTTCCTTATTTCCTTTTTTGGCAAAGAAATCTACATCAAAACAGTGTCAAACAGTGCCAAACAGTGTCTCAACAGTGCCAAACAGTGCCTCAACAGTGCCAAACAGTGCTTCAACAGTGTACTCTACAGTAAAGTCAAATTTCTTTCCTTATTTTGTGTGAAGTCAAAGTGTGAAGTTTAATAAAAACCGGAGGGAGTAAAAAACTGGAATGGTAGTTGCGTGTGTAGAACTGATGGCGACTCAACCCGAACTCCCCACTAATTGGCAAGTCAAAGCTGGAATGGGTTTTGTACCAACTCCACTATCCCGTAAAACCACTGAATTATTTATATTTCTAGGTCAACACTCAACACTATATTGACCGCTCCGTCCATTTGTTTTCCGGGAAAGCTCGGCCTTGCCCATCTAAGGTTTACTTTTATGAGATTTCATTTCACTGTGGCCGGTCATTCTTAAATTTTCGCCTAGGGCGGCTTGAAGCGAGTGTAAGGGTGTTTTTACTTTGGGAGTGGTTGAGATTGTTTCTAGTTTAAAAAAGTGATATTTTAAAGTGATTTTGGGAAAAATAAGTAAATGTTGATAGTGTTTGATAGAATAAGTGATCTTTGTGTAATAGAAAAGGTAAAAAACAGTTTAAAACACCTCTCAACTTGCTTCCAACTTTTGGCTTTTAAGTGATTAGTTAAGTAGAAGTTGTCATTTGAAAACATTCATTTCAGCTTTTTTAAGCAAAAAGCTCCAAAGCACTTATTTTAATCTTTAGCAAACACTCCCTTATATTGAAATTTACTGATCTGGTCTGATCTGATCTGTTTAAATCTGATCTGATCTGATCTGGTAAATGTCTGGTCTCTGTGTGGTTTATAACAATGAAAGTCTACTCGGGTCTGATTTGAACTGTCTGATCTGATTTGATCTTGGACGGAAAACAATTCAAGTATAAGCATCCTAATTATTTGGACTCAAATGAATGAATTATACACAATTGAATTAGATGGATCTCAAATCCATTTATATATAAGAAAAGAAATAGCTCATAAAAAGACCATTTTACCCCAACATAATCCTACGTGTTTATTTTTCCACGTTTCTCTCCTTTCATATTGTATTGCCACGTGGCTTACTTAGCACATTTTTGTACTCGCCAAAAAAACCCTACGAAAGCTTTCGATGTTTATCTTCTAGCTCATGAAATTTGCAGTCAGACTTTTCTCATCTCACTCACCACCCGAAGATCACATCTTCTCCCTCAATTATGGCCTACGAAATTGAGCATTACTAAAGCTGTTTGATACTAATTAGAATTCTTCATCTCTCTGTATGAGAGATTACTGCATCCAGCTCTTCACCCAATCTAGGATTCTAGGACACCTCCAAATGATCACTACTCCTACTTTACCGTCACTATATATACTGTCACCTCCCAAGTAGCAGAGATAATCTCTCATTAGTTCCAATCTAGCTATGTCGGTGCTCTAACCATATAGGTACTACGCACGCTGCCTCTTCTCCTTATTCCATGTTCTTCCCTTTATTGATGAATTTATTTTTCAGATTTTACATGAGTTTTAGGTGCATATAAGGTGTTTGGGTCTTTGGATATCTACTATAGTAATATCAAGGATGGGCTCCTATATTCACATTCGAGCTTCACTTATAGAGAAATCAGAGAATTTACGACTCCCCAAAAATCATACTTCTTACAAGTTACAACAATAAAATGCAGATCTTCTATAAAAGTAGAAACTTTGGCCGTAGTAGGGCAAAATATGCTGATAACTTCTCCCAAATTAACTACAAATATACTCCCAATACTACAGTGTACTATATTGTTTTTACTGTGCATTATGTTCCAAAAGTGCTTTAACATTGAAACGAAAAGTGAAGTGCATTTGAAGTGATCATTTTAGATGTATTCTTAGTTTTCATTGTTTAATTTGAAATAGGCATCTAAGTTGTATACAATGATTTTGAATAATCAATGCAATGCTTATTGCCTCCTTAGAACTTGATTTCATGAAATATTGCACTTACCTATCACTTAATTTCAAGTTTCATGTGAATGAAGTTTCGTACTTTATTTTACAGATAATCTTTTACACAATTGGAAGCTATAAACAGATTCTTCTTATGTCCTGCTTTTAGATCAGATTCTCTGCTCTAACTATTTGGGAATTCAAAATGTTAAAATCTAACATGAAATAGTAATTGATGAGTTAGAATTACTAAGTGTATAATGCGAGCCTCAATTCAAGGTAGAGTTACTATAGACATAGAGGAGTGATATATAAACCCCTGTAAAAGGTGGCTTCTTCTGGGGATAAAAACGCAGGTGGGATTTCAAAGTGGCAGACACCGGCTGCAGGGCGGTGGAAAATCATTGTCGATGCCTCGACCGGGGGAGAGAACTGTGGATTTGGATGGGTTGCTCGGGACAGCTGCGGATCATTCTTGGTAGGAGGCAGCATAGCAGGTAGCGGCCAGTTTACTCCCCTTGAAGCTGAGCTAATGAGTGTTAGGGTGGCACTAAGCTGGACTTAAAATCAACAATGAGACCTCATAGATTTGGAAACTGATTCTTAATTAGTTGTCCAAGAAATTCAGAAAATCAGAAGGGTTCGTGCTCTTCCTATTCGGGTGTTGGAGATATAAGAGATTTTGTAATATAACATCAATTCTTTCATAAGATTATGAATGGAGTCATGGAGAGGAGCAAGCATGATGACATCCAAATATTATCATGAAATATATTACATTTTCCAATTGTACTTCATTTTAATATTCATAGCTACTCTACTATGAGGTGGGTTATACCACATCCCATGGTCACACGAAGTCACTCCCGGAATCCCCGAGATGAAACAGTCATAGCTAAAATTTTGTATCAAATACGGGTGATGATGAAAGATAAGTATCTGGTTTTGCAAAGAGTGCAAGCAAAGTTTTTCCTTAATATGAAATGTTTGGTTATCCTTATCAAGCTGAATAAAGAATGACAATGTAGAGATGTTGTAATGTTGTTTGATTTGTAAACTTGAAAGATTACTAGATACGAAATGAAATTAGCATACCACATTAAGGAAGACTGGAAGAGACTAAATAAATTCTACTATCACATTACTAAAACCATACTCAGGCCATTTTTTATAATATTAGAGACTTGCTATTCCATTTCCATAGGCTCCTGTAATTTAAGTGGTACAATATATCATAATTTTTTTAATTGCTACAACTCAATCTAACTACCTAACAAAGTAGCAATCTATCTATTTATATATAAGAAAAGAAATAGCTCATAAGAATACAATTCTACCCTTAATGAATCTTATGTGTCTAGCTCTTCTTAATTCTCTCATTTGGTATAGCAATGCAATGTGGCCATTTTTCTTCAAAAGTACCGAATTCTCCCACGGTATAGAATGGAGCAGCCGCGGGGGATGTAGTTGGTGGGGCCCAAATATAAAAAAACCACAATTTTCTTTAATGTGTTATAACTTTTTCATTTTTAATCCAATTTTACAAAAAATATATCAAAATTCATAATTTTTTGTAATCTTTCATATGAGATCAATATTCAATATATAAAAATATACTTTATTAACGGTCTCCATAATTATGTTTAAAATT